CTCTCCTCTTCTCCTCTCTTTCTTTTCCCCGCCTCCTCCTCCTCATCTCCTCCTTTCTTCCTCCCCTCCTCCTCTCTTCTCCTCCTCCTCCCGTCCTCCTCATCTCCTTCTCCTTTCTTCCTCCCCTTCTCTCCTCCTCTTCTCCTCTCTTCCTCTCCTCTTCCTCCTCATCTCCTCCTTTCTTCCTCCCCTTCTCCTCCCCTCCTCCTTTTCTTCTCCTCCTCCCCTCCTCCTCCTCTCCTTCTCCTTTCTTCCTCCCCTTCTCTCCTCCTGCTCTTCTCCTCTTCTCTCATCCTCCCCTCCTCCTCCTCCTCATCTCCTCCTTTCTTCCTCCCCTTCTCCTCCTGCTCTTCTCCTCTCCTCTCATCCTCCTCTCCTCCTCCTCTCCTCTCCCCTCTTGTGAGGGGGGTGGAGGCAGGGTAGAGAGGGCTTCTCTTACAGCTTTTCCTTGTCCTCAGGTAAGTGCTCTTGGGCCTTTTCTCTCTATCCATCGAGAGGCCAGTGGCTGAGCTCTTGGTGTTCCTTCCGCCTCAGTCCTTTAGCTCTTCCTAGCCATAACCAAGTTGGCACTTTGTGAATTCAATTCTCACCTCTCTCCGGTGCCAACTCCAGACTCCCTTCACAAATAGAGTTGTTAATTAAGATCATTCAGGACAATTTTCAACCCCTATAAGTGTCAACTCCAAAGCTAGGAAGTTGACCTGTCAGGGAGCATTGCCCCATAATCTTGACCCCTTTTTTTTAGATGAGATTCTGCCTCAGTTTTCTAAGCTTCCAATGACAGGAACAAAACATCCTCTCAAATGAGATTATCTATGTAATATGTAAAGTGCTTTACAACCTATACCTCACTATTCTTGTTTTTAGAACTGCGGTTCAAGTTCAGTAAGATATCAGTAATATCCAGGGACTTAAAGTTGTAGACCCAGTGGGAGGGCACAGCACTGGTACAAGTGGGCAGCAGATATTTTGAATGGAGAAAGAGCATCAGGGAGCGTATGATGGGACAAAAGGGTGTTCCAGGTGTATTTTAAGAGTAAGGAAATACCTGATAAAAACTTCATATGTTCCATTGTTACCTGGAGGAATATCAAGAGTGTGGTTTACATTTGTGTTCCCTAGTGCTTAGGCCAGTGACTGGCATATGGGAAACACTGAAATGTTTTTTATTCCTTAATTGTTTGCCTTCACACAGACAATATTCGCTGCTTGGAATTCACTTCCCCCTCACTTCCACTTTATAGCCTCATAGAATCCCTGACTTTCTATAAAATTCATCTCCATCTCTCATTCAATAATTGAGCATTATAAATCACCAGTCCTGCCCTCAAAGATCTTACATTCTATCAGGAGACACCATGTATATAGTCAGCAAGTCAACAAGCATTTGTTAAATACTTAGTATATGCCAGGTAATGTGCTAAGTGTTGGCAATAGAAATACAAAAGAATCAATAACCATATGAAAAAATGCTCTAAATCACAAATAATTAGAGAAATGCAAATTAAAATAAACCTGATGAACCATCTTATTAGCTATCATATTGGCGAAAATGACAGATCCTGGAGGGGGTGCAGAAAAATAAGCACACTAGTGCATGGTTGGTGGAGTTGTGAATTGATCTAACCATTCTGGAGAACAGTTTGGAACTATGCCCAAAGGGCTATAAAACTGTGCATACCTTTTGATCAGCAATACCACTACTAGGTCTATATCCCAAAGAAATCAAAGAAACGGGAAAAAGACCCATTTGTACAAAAGAATTTATAGCAGTTCTTTTTGTGGTGGCAAAAAATTGGAAATAGAGGGGATGTCCATCAACTTGGGAGTGACTGAACAAGATGTGGTATGTGGTTATGATGGAAGAAATGATAAAGGGGATAGTTTTAAAAAAATCAAGAAAGATTTGTATGAACTGATGCAAAGTGAAGCAAGCAGAACCAGAACGGTTTATAGTATTGTAAAGACCAACAACTTTGAAGGGCGTGGGCACAGTACACGCAATGAACCACCGTGATTCCAGAGGACTGAAGGTGGAACATGCTGGCCACCTCTGAGTAGAGATGTAATGAACTCAGTGTAGATTAGGTTGAAGCTTTTTTTTATTTTTTGACATTGTCAGTTCAGGAATTTGTTTTGCTTGATTATACATGTTTGTAATTTTTTTTTTCTTGTTTTCTCAGTTGGGGAGGAGGAAAAGGAGATGGCCCAGAGAGAGTTTAAACCTGAAAATAAAATGAAATTGGATTAAACAAAAGTACAAGCAGGAAGATAGTTCCTGCCCTCAAACAACTTACATTCTTTTTTGCTTCCTCCCTTCTCTGAAGCTTACATTCTCATGAGGACCAGGTAGAAGAGGCCATTCTTTGCCTCCTTTCTTACCTAGTCTAAATCACTGAATGGATGTTGCCTTAGTCAAACTGCGACCTGGGAAAACCTTAGCATAAAAAAGCCAAGGTCTCCCACTGCATCCTGATCTGTATAGGCCACTGGACCCAGATGACTCCAGAGGAGAAAGTGAGGCTGGTGACTTTGCACAGCCCTGCCTCACTTAAATCCAATTGCATCACCTCCCTGGTGTCGTGGTCCCCTTCGAGAATGAAGGACAAACAATAGCAACCACATCATTCTAATGACAGAAGACGGCACATAAAAGAAAGTGGAAGGGGTGGGTGGGTGGGAAGGGGAAATAAAGGTATCCAGTCAATGTCTTGGTAAGGAAAGTCTCAGGTGCAGCGTCATCTGGCCTGGGTGCCCTGCTGAAATGGAGGCTCTGGGGGGAGCCATCCAATCATGGAGGGGCCATAGTGATGGAGTGTACTTCCCTTTTGTGAATTCCAGGGCTGGGCCGAGCTTCCAGCATGAAATAGTTTCTGGGACATGAATGAGAAAGCCTTGAGTGCAGCCTGGAGGGAAATGAGATAGAAATGCAGTCAATATTTACAAAGTAAATGCAAGTTAATTTTGGGGGGTTAGGGCATTAGCTCCTGGGAGGATCAGGGATGGCTTCCTGGAGGTGGTGGTGCTTGAGAATGTCTGTGAAACCAAGGATCCCGAGAGGTGGAGGTACGTGCAGTGGGAGCTGGGGTGGTGGCACATTCCTCTGTGGATTCTGTTTGAGGCTGCTTGACTGCCCTTTTGAAGGCCCTGGTGAATGTCGGTGGGGCAGGGCACATACCAAACATGCCCTGCTGTGTTCTGAGAACAACTGATAAGCCACTTTGCTGTCATCTCTCACTGGACAAAAGAGAGACTCCCCCTTGCTCGTTGAGTGGAGGCCATCAGGCACTCAGACGTCCTGTGCTTGTTTCCCACAGGCAGGCCAATGAGGAGTACCAGGTTCTGGCAAACTCCTGGCGCTACTCCTCGGTCTTCTCCAACAAGCTCTTCTTCAGCGTAGTGGACTACGACGAAGGTGCAGATGTTTTCCAGCAGGTACCTGCAAATACTTATCCTCTCTGTGGTGTCTGGTCCAATGAGTCCCAAGATGGGAGCAATTCCATTGTGATATAAATAGCTCAAATTGGGGGCAGCGAGGTGGCGCAGTGGATAGAGGACTGGCCCTGGATTCCGGAGGACCTGAGTTCAAATCTAGCCTCAGACACTTAACACTTACTAGCTGTGTGACCCTGGGCAAGTCAGTTAACCCCACTGCCTCACCAAAAAACCAAAACAGAACAAAAATAGCTCAGATGAGCATTGTGTTCCTTGTGACATGCATGGGTGCCAACAGTGACCAGAGTGTGTCTGTTTTGCCTTAGCCTTTTCCGTAGCCAGTGACTTAAGGACCATACCACGTGCAAAGTTTGTCCACCTTTCAGACCATGGGGGGTACAGGCAGCGTCCACCTTTGGCTTTGAGATTTGGTTTAAAGGATACATTCCTTTTGCATTTATTGTGTCTGGAAACCTGGTGCCCTGTCTGTTCCTGAGCATAGGCATTCTGGTATTTGTGACATGCCTGGTGCTTCTCCACAGCTGCCCCAGCCAGTGCACACCTGGGCCCCCCTTCGTATTCCCGTGGTGGTCCGGGCTATCACTGAGGGCAGGTCTGACTTGCTTTTGGTAGCCACCAGGGTGGGAGGAGTTAGAGACAGAATTGAGGCCTGAGTGAATTATCCCACACCCAGGATCGCTTCTGTCACAGCCAGACAGCCTTCTTCTGCTCCTGGGCTCTTGGCTTTCCTGGCTTTTCTTTTCCCCCGCCGCGGTCAGCTAGAGCTCAGGCCGGGCCTGCTGGATCTTTTCACTTTCATTGTCCAAGGGTTGGCCTGTCTCCCAGGCAGGTGTGTGGCCATCTTTTAAGCCTAGTTTTTGATCGTTGATTTCCAGCTGTTGGCTGCAGGATTTAATTCAGCAAGTTTGCCCTGTGTGCCTCAGTTTAATGCTAGCTTAGGAAATATGTGTCTCAGTGCTTCACAGAAGTTGTCCGTGGTGAGCTACCCTTTCAGCCCTGTCCAGTTGGCTGTAATCAGGCAGCTGAGGGCACTGGGCTGAGCAGTCACTGGGCCACGATGCCGCTGCTTGTCAGCAGAGACCCTTGGGATGACGGGGGGTGCGGTACAGTAAAAGAGGCCCCCTCTGAAATGGAAGCAGCAGAGAAAAGGAGGAGCTTGCGGATTCCTCCCCACACATGCCCCTGGTGCTTCTCCGCCTCCGGCCAGTAGTAGCCGGAGGAGAGGGGGGCCGTACTGACGGGACTTCCTTCTTTCACAGCTCAACATGAACTCGGCGCCGACCTTCATGCACTTTCCTCCAAAGGGAAAGCCCAAGCGTGCTGACACTTTTGACCTGCAGAGAATCGGGTTTGCCGCAGAGCAGCTGGCCAAGTGGATCGCTGACCGGACAGATGTCCATGTAAGCTCCTGGGGACTGGGGGTGGGGGAGGCCTCCTGAGGAGGGAGGGCACCCTCCCCGTGGACCACTGACGGGTGCTCTGTGTCCCTCCCTCTTCAGATCCGTGTGTTCCGGCCCCCCAACTACTCGGGCACCATCGCCTTGGCCCTACTGATCTCTCTCGTTGGAGGCCTGCTCTACTTGAGGAGAAACAACCTGGAGTTCATCTACAACAAGACGGGCTGGGCCATGGCTTCCCTGGTAAGTGAATGTGTGTGCGTGCATGTTAGCGCACATCAGCAGGGCAGGGCTGTTGGGGGTGGGACCCTCACTGAAGGCCTCCAGCCCTTTGGGCCCTCCCTGCTGTTTATGCCCTTCTGTGATGGTGCTGTGCAAACAGCAGAGAACACCCAGGGTCATCCTTATGTGGGAGAGAAGGGAGTAAGCATTTATGTAGCACCTGCTGCATATAAGCACCGTGCTAAGGGCTTTTTATAAATACAACCTCATTTGATCCTTGCAGCAGCCATGTGAGGTAGGGGCTGTTATGACACCCATTTTACAGTTGAGGAAACTGAGGCAGGCAGAGGTGAAGTGACATGCCCAGACAGCAAGGACATATCTGAACTCACATTTGACCTCGGCTCTTCCTGACCACAGGCCCAGCGCTCTGTACTGTGCTGCTGAGCTGCCTCTGTCTTTGGACCTAGGCAGCTTTGACGGTGACCATGGTCTGTTTTCCTTTAGCCTTTGTTGTGGGTGTGGAATGATTGCAGGAAGTGCTCCCCCCACCCACCCACAGTAGAGCAGGGGCTGGGGCTGCTTTCCTTCCTTATCCTTGAGTTACTGTAGCCCTTTGAATCAGCTTCCCCCACATCAGACTTTGCCCTTCTGGCTCCCAGGCCCAAGGAGGGAGTGGCCACCTCCCACTACCCCCAGCCCCAGGGGCCCTGTCATTTCTACCTCAACTCCCTTTTCTGCCTGGTTAGTGAGAACCACCTCTAGTACAGAATGGCCTCCACCTTTGGAGGGATGAATTTATCTTGCATCAAGTTCAAGCATTGTTAACTTTGCTGCTCGGGACCGAGATGGAAAGAGGCTGGCCTCCTCTCCCCCACTGCCTCGTCTTTTCATACATAAAGGCATTTAATGTTTGCACAGATCTAGGCTGGGATATGTTGTGTATAGAGGGTTTGTAAATACATGTGTGTGGACATGTAGAGAATTTGAACTGTAATTCTGAAATGGAAAATCATGAGCCAGGACTGTGTTAGCCTTCAGACTTTATAAGGAGATTGGTAGTCACTGCCTTGTTAGGTCCAGCATGCCACATGATTTTATCCCCTTCATCTGGGTGTGCAGTGGCTGTGAAAGTCTTCATAAGGCCTTATTGATGTCTTATAGCTGTGAACCACGTCGGTTCCAGCCCTCCACACAGTGCAGAGATGGACAACCCTTGGGCCCCGTCATATGGGTGGAGTTGGCAAGGGCTGCCGGTGGTCAGCATTGGTGATCGTCGTTTTTCTTTGTGCTAATGCTAAGACTTCAGATTGCTGCTGCTGCAGTCCTCATTAAATTCAGCAGGAAAGAGAACACAATTACCGATCCTACTGTAGTAACATCAGGACAAAAGTGGAAGGTGGATTCTGTTTCACCCTGGAGTAGGAGCTTCTTTCATCCCCTTGTGGACTTAAATAAAGTCATATCGAGCCCCATTTCTTGCTTTCTGCTTGTTTGTCTCTGGTGACCGTTTTCTTTCATGTAAGCCTTGGGTACTTGGGTCTGACCTGGTATTCAGCAGCCCCCAGAGGTCGGGCTCAGTCTGGATTCTGCTCACCAGTGGCAGTTTGCTCACAATAATCCACCAAATGGTGCATGTTTTTCTTAGATGTATTTTGTAGCATTCATAGCAGAAATCTCAGTTACGTGTAAACCCAAAATAAGAAATACAGTTTTAATTTTGAAATTAAATAGTGCTCCTATTTGGACTGGCTCTTATTGTAAAGTATGCCTCCCTCATAATGAGAAGTTATTTTGTTCTAAGTTTGACTCCCTAAAATGAATGCTCTTGGAAGTCGTTTTATTTTTGAAATGTTTTGATTTGGTAGCTGTGTGAAGAGAAAGGAATAGAAGAGGAAAGCATCTCTATCTGCATCCGGATCTGTGTGTTCACAAAAGTGATGTCCACCAAAAATGGCTGCAGAGGAGGCAGAAACTCAGAAAGGCAGAAATGTTAAACGTGCTACTTATTATCATACTCCAATACAAAATAAGGCGAATATGATTAAAAGATGTAGAGATAAATGATGACCAGAAATACTGTAGTACCTAGTATGCATCGAAATGCAGACATTTTGAAAAAATTAAAGGTCAATGTGATGTCCAAAGTAAAGAAATCTAAGAAAATCAATGTTCAACAGCAAATAGAAATCCATGAATGCTGTGGTATTTGTGATTTAAGTTTGCAGTTAAATTGAAAATGAATGAATTTGGGACATCTAGGTGGTGCAGTAGACTGCAAGGACCTGAGTTCAAATCCAGCCTCAGATACTTGAAACTTACTAGCTGTGTGACCTTGAGTAAGTCACTTAACCCCATTGTCTCATCAAGAAGCAAAAAAAAAAAAAAAATGAATTCATATACTAAAGGAAGCACAAAATAAGCCACCTAAATAAGAGAAATATTAGCAAAATAGAAAAAAATGTACAAGCACTTTAATAAAGAAAACAATCTGCAATTTGGAAAAGAACAATACAGTTGATAAACCCACTAGGAATTTTAGTTTTCAAAGAGAGAACAGGAGAGAACATTCAATTTTGAAAAAAAAAATTCAGTAATGAGAGTGAGACAAGATGACAGAACCAAAGGAAAGAAAAGTGTCTAGTCAGTAGTCAGTAAATATTTATGAAGAAGAGCCAGCCACATGGCCAACGCTGGACTAGACTCTGGGCAGACAAATACAAAAAGAAAGATGGTCAAGGAGCTTACGATCTAATGGGAGAAGACAGCCCACAAAGTGAAGCTGAAATGGGGGGAGGGGGAAGGGTAGGTCCTTAGCACGGAGATGTGCTAAAGCTCTCTCTGCCAAGAAAAGGAGAATCTGAAAGAAACAGGTGAATGTTTACAACGTTAAATACCTAATCTGAGAAGACAGGAATCATGTAACCTATACAGGATGAGTAATCGAACAAGCCGTTAATAAGATAGATACCTTGGAAAAAAGACACCTGGATAAGAAGTAGTCACAAATAAATTCATTCACATATTCATGAATATATTATACAAGCTGTTTTCAGAAACATGGAAATAGGCTTCTGTTCATAATACTGAGTCAAAGACAGTCTTAATATCCAAACCTGGGAATGATATGCCAGAAAAAGAAATGCAGCTCTGTATCAGAGCAATTTCATTAACAGAGATAACCCAGTATTTGAAATAGTTTACTGGAATTGGAGTCAGGAATACTTGGGTTCAAATCCCAGATACTTACTGGTTGTTTGAACCTCAGAAAGTCTTAGTTTCCTCATCTGTAAAAGATATACATTATGGTCAATGAGGGTTTATACAGGGAATGTGAAGGGGGCTCAGTCTTAGGAAAACAGTGAGCAAAATAAATTGTATCATTAAGAAAATGATTAACGTCCCTACAGATGCACAAAAAACAGTTTTGAAAAAATATAACCCCCCACTTAGAAACAACAACAAAAAGTGGTACAAGAATAGGACAATTTTTCTTTAACATTCAAAATGTTTAATTGAATATAATAGAGAACCAATTGAAGAGGGACTTCACGATCTCTACTGTTTCTTGTCTGCATCATTTTGGAAAGGCTTGTTTTGACAACCTTGAGAGAAAGAAACCAAGGCATCAGCACAGTCGAATAAGAGTTTAAAATATCTCTCTCTCTCTCTCCCCCTCTCTCTCCC